GAACGTTACAAGCGATTATTAATAATTATTACGACTTAGCAAAAAAACAAAATAACGAAATATGTTATCTATGTTTAGTATTTAGATAATAGATCTACGTTCCGGCAGTCGTTCGATAATTTACTTGGACGTTTATTGTTATGTATTATAAAATAAAGAAGAAATTATATTAACAAGAATATTATTATACTTAAATATTGAACATTTTTTTTCCATCCTTCATAGTAATCACCGTACATTAGAAAATCAAAAAGAAACCTAGAATATTCTTAATAAAATATTGGCCTAAAATTGCCGCCCCTAAAAATTTGCCGCCCTAGGCAACTGCCTACTTTGCCTGACGCTAAATCCGCCACTGCTGTCACTGAAATCTTGATGATTAAATTCATAATTGTAATCAAAGTCAGTTAAATCTTTGGCAGTTAGACTTCCGAAAGAACATGCTGGTGACATTATTGGTGTTATTGTTTTACCGGATTCTTTAAGTTTTTCGCAATTGTTGTCGTCCTTTACTTCATTATTACTATTAGTTTTATATTCTTCGAGTTAACAACTACGCGCAATTTCCATCGAACTATCAATACTCATAAGATGAGTGACTACAAAACGATCAACTGCCATGGGCATTGTCTTTTTTTTTAGTATATTACTTTTAAGCAAGGCAAAATCTCCTTCAACTGATGCAAATGAAGCATTTATGTAAGGGGATTTAAACATCGAACACATAATATTTGGCCATAATGGAAATTCTTTGCATAGTCTTAATATATTTTTTGTAAATTCAGGTAATACGGACTGATTCTATCACCTTCCACTAATGAATAAGAAATACTCTTCGATTTTTTTCCATTCAAAAATTCATTAAATTTTGAATTTTCTTGTACTCTTGTATTTAAAAACATCAATTTCCTCATCAGAATTATCAAAAAGTATTCTATTGTTATCTAAAATATAGTTTGACATGTCATTTTCATTGATTGTGGTGCCTCTTATATTGTTGAGTAACCGTATTCTGGCTTCCTCAGATGGACATTTTTTTGTACTTCCCATTTGGTGACTCTCTGTTTGGCTTATAGACACTGTTAAAATATCTAGTAAAACATTTTCAAATTCTTCTAAGCAATTAGCTCGAATCAACAACATGACACATCTAACATAAAATTCCTTTAAACCATAATTTTTTGTGCCTGTTAAACATTTCCTGCGACAAACTAGTTTAACTGAATGGGCTATGTCAATTCGGATGTAACATGTAGGTAAGTTATAAGATTTAGAGTACAAAATGTTGAAGCATTTCTCTACATAATCATATAGTGTAATTCCATTACAAAATGCTCTACAGATTGCACCCAGCAGTGCTTTTGAATAGTCACATGTAGTTTCTTGGTTTATGGGAACACCGTCTTTGAGCCATTGTGCTAACCAGTAAAAAATGGTAAGCGTATCATGTTGCTCACTTACCATTTGTGTGACTGGAACTTGGTAACTATTTGTATTTAGCACTGATTCGTATAAAAATATATTACCTGATAAAATACCTTGTTTTGTTCTATTAATTTTTTTTATCAAACCTCCCGTAGCGTCAATCGATAAACATTAGTACGATTTTTAAACGTGCTTATATATAACAAGTTGCGAAGGCGTCCAATATTGAATAAATAGTTTGGATGCAGATATTGTATGGATAGAGCCTGCATATTTCCCATACTTTAGTTCAATAAAATTAAATTGTTTTAATATATATAAAAAATAAAAAAAGTTTTAATATGATTTTTAGACGTATAAGTGCAGTACACATTTTTTTATTTTTTAATCCTTTATATATGACATGGAATTTATTTTTTTAAATTTTTCTCATTATTTATTTAAATTAATAATTAATTCAAAACGTAATAATGTTTTTCAGACATAAATAAATTTCATATTATTTATTATTTTTATAATTTTAATTTTTTTTTAATACGTTTAACTTGTATCATTTTTCCATTTTTTAATTTGTTAGGTTTTTTGATATATACGCTAAACAGTTTTAAATATAAAATTATAAAATTATAATGTATATTATAAATTATTTTGTATATTAAAATGTTCTTACCTTCCCAAAATAAAATGTCAATGAACAAATGCATGTCCGATATATTAGTTGATATTACTGAATTACAGTTTTCAATACATTTTGAATAATCTGATATAATTCTATTGTCTAAATATGTTTGAAGTCCTTCAAATAGTTTACTGCTGTTGACTTGATAAGTAAGAAACATGATATTATTTTTAATATTTTTTGTTCTTATACATGTTTCGTTTGAACATGTTTTAGTCTCTATGGCTGTAGGGAAGTCATCAAACATATTTTTTATCACATGTCCAGCTGTTGTGTCACAAACAGCTAATGTAACGTCATAGTCTAGCGATTGTATGTTGACATCCATATAATTTGTAATTAAATTAGCTCTTTCTGAATAAGTCGATGATTTAATTCCATATTTGACAACATTAGTTATAAAATTTAAAAACTGATTTTTTTGAATGTCAACTTTTTCAGCATACCTACCTTTTACTATCGCAATAAGACACCTAAAAATAATAAATTAACATTCGCAATCATAAATCTATTCAATAATTAATTAAACATTTATTTTATAAGACCAGATCGATATTCTAAATTTATAAATATTTTAGTAAAGTATTAATTATTTATAGGGCTGTGAATTTAATGCACTAAAAAACCTTAAAAAAGCATTAAAAATGTCAAAAATATGCAATATTATACGCACTTAAAAATTAAAATGCAAAAAATGAAATATAAAATGCCAAAAATTATAGTATAAAATTCACTTATAATGGTTTTTATTTAATTTCTATACATATTTTTATTGATATTATAGAATATTATACATTTGTACATTTATAAATAAAAAAAAAAATAGTTAAAATGTTGATTATTTTAAATTTTGTACAATGCTATTCAATTGAAACATTGTTAAGAATTTTTTTTATGTTATGATTTTTTTTCAAACATGTTAATTGACGGAATTTGATTAACAATACCGGAAAATGAACTAAAAATGCAAAATATGACATCAAAATGCAAAATAAAAGTTTCATTGGATTCGTTGTTACATAATTCACATAATTTACATAGCTACGGTTCACAATCACAAAAAAAAAAAACCATGTGTGTTACCAGTACGCGCGCGGGAAGTTAAACTTTTTTTGAATGGTACACGTGAGTGAGTGAAAAAGAAAGAAAGGCATGGATATACTGGGTAATGAGGATAATAAAGAAAGAAAAGAAACAATGTAAATTATATTTTTATATTTTTTTTTTTTAATTATTATTTTTTATGTTAATGATTGATTATCATTTTGCTTAATCGGTATAGTAGTTATGATTGGCATATGCTGACTGAAATACGAAACGTACATTTGTGACTGAACATTATCCATATATCGCGTAAAAATTGCATCGATTGTTGTGCCTGATTTAGTAGTCGATATTGTTGGATCATTATTCAGTTGCAAACTGAATTTGTCTCGCAATAAAGTTACGAGAGGTGCTGAATCAGAAGATGCAAAATTAACATTGAAATCCACACTCATGACCATTGCACATGTATCTTCGTCACCACCATAAAGAGCTGCACCTTCATGGCTATACACTAAACATGTTTTATGAATAAATTTGATGATAACAGCCATTTTCTGATTTGGGGAGATGTAGATTGCAACCATTATTATTATATTTTTATTTGATAACAAGCATTCAGCAATGCAATAATCACCGACTGACGTTGCTTCTGATTTATTTTATTGTGACTGCCCAACTTTCATTTCTATCGATGGAGTGACAACATTCACTAAATCACTGTTATTGTGATAAATTGCAACTCCTGCTGCTCGAACCGCTGGTCGTTTGTATTTTATAACACAACGAAAATTCGGGATTTCAATATCATTCGTTCCTTGGTCCCAAGTTTCAAAAAACATAAGTACTGAAGCATTTTTTAGTACAATGTCTAAGATATCCTTAGAATGAGCCCGAAGACTTTGGCAATTGAACGAATATATGGATATACCTTTGTTTTGTTGCATAAAATTGACTATCCGTTTGTCAGTCGTTTCCAAACGATTATTAGCGAGCTTTGCAAATTCATCTCGGAGACGCTTGGTGGTATCAGTAGCTCTTCGTCCATGATAAAATTTAAAATCATCAGTGCTTAATATAAGATACAATCCCTGGATATCCGTTACTCTCGACAAGGCTACGTACAATAATGATTGTGCATGTGTTTTGTTGTACTCATAAACGACCTCATTATATGTGCTGCCTTGAGATTTATGAATTGTCATGGCTGACGAGCAAACTACTGGTATATGCCTACGTCTGGCGCAGATGGTTTTACTTGTATTAAGGTGAATGGTGGATGATCGCCTTCCTATTGGAACAGCAGATCGGCTGATGGAATTTGCTGCAACGTATCCAGAGACTTTTTTTCTAATTTTTTTGCCAATGTCCATAGGAAATTCTAACCAAACAGCAGTAACATCTCTTGCTTCATTGAGGTCAATATGAACCAATTTACCTACAGCACCGTTTGCCAAACCATCAGATACATCTATATTTGTTGTTATCATTTAATGTACGTTTTTAACAAATATTGTCTCATATGGCAACCCTCCTGTATCAACGATTGACATTTTATGAAGTTTTGCTCGTAAGAGATTCTCTTGGTTTGTTGACGAACAACCCACAAAAACATCTTTTGCCGTAGATACGATTTTATCTTCAGCACGATTTAAAAGACAATTATTGTATTCTTGAACAGCCTTGTTTGTATGAAATAAGCGAATTCCACTTGGACATAGTGCATCCGCTTGTGACTTCGTAAAAAATCTGGATTCCAAAATAGTGATTTCATCATTTTCAAGTTGGTCACCGTTGCCAATTTTCGTTAAAATTGTAGCGAATTGAACATTTGCTTGTCTCATAACTTGATCTAACTCATATAATCTAACTCATTATATAGCCATAATGTTGGCCCAATTATTGTCCTTTTGATAGGTAAATAAATTGAAGTAGCTCGAACTGGTGGTAGTTGCCGTAAATCACCAATAAAAATTACATCTAGTGATCCAAAAGATGTTTTAAAATCACCAGTTATTTGTTGTAATCGCGTGTTAGTTTTAGATAATAATTCAGCACTTATCATGCTTATTTCGTCAATGATGATTACTTTGACATATTTAAATAATGCACGATATTGACAAACAGTTTCAAAAGATAGTGACATCAATGCTGCAATAGATATTTTGAAAGCTGTGTGCAGTGTGGTACCATCAATTGCAACAGCTGCTTTTCCAGTAGAAGCACAGGTGATATAAGCATTGCAGTGTCCATCGTTATCTGTATAGCGATTATATATCTCCATAAGTAATTTTATGACAAATGTTTTGCCACATCCAGCTGGACCAGTGAAAAATATTTGAAAAGGTGAATCGTTTGGGGAAAGAAGATGTTTGATCACTTCCATCAGAAGTCCTCTTTGTTTTTCATTTGTACTTTGCATTAATTCATAGAACTGATTACGGTCCATCAGGTTTTCTCGTTTCTTTGCAATTGGACCAAGTTTATTGAGAACAGCCAGACGCAAGTCATTATTCATATCAGCACCAGGATTGTTATATAACGCCTCGAATGGATTGGGCTCCTCCAATACGTTGCCAACTTCATGTGATTCATCATCTCCAAAAGACCCTTCGTCTTCCCGGTATAAATTTCTACAAATTTCAATGACTTTCTGAATATCCAAATTGGCTTCAAATTCCTGACGGTTACGTAGTATCAAGTCTTCATTGGTGTCGTTTATTTCAATGTATTTTGATTCAGCTATTATTTCCATAGCTTCGTTTCGAAAAGGACAATACAAAGTCACCGTTTCCCTTTTATATTCATTCAAATCATCTCCCATATAATTTCTGTAACGGATTACCCGCGATTGTTTTCTTTTTATGTAAGTACCATTTGGGTGAGGTGTATAGTTTGCAACGAATTTTGCTAAATTTATATTTTCCAAATCTTCATGTCCTTTGTTCATACTTGTCGAACCAATTATGTTTCCAAATATCAGTTGAATCCAATTCTTTGTTTGTTTTTTTTTATTCTTTCTCGCTCTGATGGTCATACTGTTGGAATAGTTACAATGACGGCAGAACTTTTTGACATTGGAGCTCTTAAAAGATACCAGGCAGCTTCTTGACTTGGCATTTCAACACTATTAAGCATTTTTATACCAAGGTTTCGTGTTATTTCGACAATGTCAAATTCTGGATGCTCATCTATTGTTTTTATAATTTCTCTTTGGAGGTTACTGATACCTCTGTTGCTTTTATTGACATATTCAGATACATAATTAGCGCAAGAGTATATGTCCGTAATAAATTGTATATCCATGTTTGATTTCATAATATTCAAAATAATCGGATTAAATGGGTTATGCCATTTTTCAGATGGTTGGTGCCTCAAAAAAACTCTAGGCCTTTTAATACCTGCTCGAAGTATGTGATGATAATGATCGTCTGATATAACATTATTTTGAAAGTAGAATGTGTCAATATCAGGATAATCCGTGTTTTCAATATTACTTTTTATGTTTTTGTAATGTTTAAAATAACCAGAAAATCCGTCTTCTTCTTTTTGCATGGGAGATAGTATAATTGTTGATCGACTTGGCAGGAATGGAGCTTCGAATCGACATTCTTTCCTGTTACCAATAATGTTTTTGTAACATGTGAACGTATGATGATGTTTTTGTAGATTTATATGGCCCGATGCATAATTAGCTGATACAGAAATAACTCGATCAATTAATTCGATGACTTGAAGACTCTGTACCAATGACATAATCAGCAGCCTCTGCTAACCACAGTAAAGTATGTGCTTCCTCTGTGTTGGAATTCGATCCTTTTAAAATAATGAATAACATAATGTCTACCAAAAGGGCTAAATTTTGGTGATGACAAGATATTCATCAATGTATCAACTAGTTTGTTAAAATAAAGAGCACAAGTAACCGGATCTTCATTAATAAGCACTGTTTTTTCATTATAATGTAACTGTTCAATCAATTCTTCCGAAATTGAGACACCATTATTTTTCAATTTATATATTGTATGAAGTAAATTGGTCCATCAAATTGCATTGGCGCTGACAGTAAGAAATATTGTTGGTTTGCCCAACTGTCGAATCATTGCAAACAAGTCCTTTTTGCGGTGAGCCCAGTACCAAGCTGAGTTGGGGATCGATCGTAAAAAAGCAAGATTTGTATCAATACAATTATTGATATATTCATCCTCTTCTATTTGTTTTTTTGTAATATTGGTATCTTTGCCAATGTGTTTGAAAGCAATCGTAAGGCTATCACGAATCCTTAACCTCATAATTTTCATCGCCATATACAACAAATGTTGTGGTTTAACGCCTCGTCGATCAGAACGTCGTAACTCACTTGAAGCCATTGTAAAAGGCTTTACCTGAACTCCTTCTCTAAAATTCCGAAATTCACCAAGATAAATTGCTGGAAAAGAAAGCTCCTCAGCATGTTCATCAAATATCAAACTTTGAGGAAGCTGAGCTTGACCTGCTGCCAAACAGAGATACTTTATAATACGTAATATTATTATCATGTCATATTGACATGGCCCGATTATAATATATAATATATAATATATATATATTAATAAATAATAATATATAATATAACAACACTACCATGACAACATTTATTTATTTAAGGACATATAAGCTTTCGCGTTCGTACGCGCCGCCCGTTCGCTTTTTTTTTTCCTCACTACCCTGCGTAAAGAAGTATAACTTCAAAATGCACTTTCCTACAAATTCACAGTCCTAATTATTTATATATTAGGTATATTCTGATTTTGAAATTCTTAATTACCATAATCAACGAAGCTACGGTATCAAACGCACATGTGTTGCTTAAGACCACTTTTCCGGATATGTTTTGGGCTTTACAACTTTTCAACTCTTTGAACCTTGAGCCATTTTTTAAAATTGGTAGAAATTTGAGACTTCTTGTGTTATTTATATCCAAATACTTCAAGTGAGGGTTTGGTATAAGGTATGACTTTGATTTTCTCTGTTTATTCTTATGATCCCAGCTTTCACGAGCTAAGCATTCTTCCGACAAGACATCATTTTCTTAAAATTAATTGAATTTATATAATATATTAATAACAATAATTAATTCATAATACATGAGAAAGTTTTTTTTACGAAATAAGATTTAATTTATTAATTTAAATATTTGAACATAATATATTCATTCTTTACTATCCCTAGTTATACCAAGTGATATAAACATATTATGAAAACAAAACAACTAGTCATACTCGTCGTCTTTTAATCATCAATCAATTTATAATATATGGTTTTAAAATAATTTATTTTATTTGTGCTTTCTAGCAATGATTAACTTTTTATGTGCATTATTGCTTTATGGTTCCAATTTTAAATAGTGTCTATGATATATTTTATTTCATATAAAAAAATTTCTTTGAATTAATTACAATTTTAATAAACTATATCTTTTATAGCGGGTGTTGCCGCCCGAAATGCAGCAACATTATTGTTGATATGTGAGGCCGCTTATACCACCACCGACTCATGCACACACTAATGCAATCACATACCTGTTACCTGTTTGTTCCTATATATTTATATTATTGTTTTTATTTCTGTTTAATTGTCCGTATCAACTGTGAATTATTATATAATATTATGTAAATTATCGCCGCCGCCGCGCCGGCTGCGTATTTATTATTATATGACACGGCCGCCGCAATCCAATCAGTGCGCTCACCGATGTCATCAAGACACAATATCATTAGCGATAGTACCGGTCGCCGGTTCGATATTATATTGTTTTAAGTTCAGGCGCGAATCGCCAAGTTTGTAATATTCTTATGTAAGGCGCAAATCGTCTTACATATTATAATTATTAAACCGTACGTCCGTGCAATTATTGTGTAGGCGCGAATCGCCACTGTGTTTTTTAAATTATTTGTCATTATTATTATTTGTCAGCGCAAGGTGTGCGTTTATTTTATTATCATTATACAGTACAGGTAGCAGCTGGCCAGCGGCGCTCCGTCAAATTGTGAGTTTATTTTATACATTTATTATTATATTACAGCTCAAATAGCTAGTTATTTCTTATTATCAACTATTTGGCCATCTTTATATAGTTCTTAGCGGCTCAAATAGATTGTTATAAAATATTATTATATTGTTTTTGCCTATTGGCTATAATTTTATTTATTTTGTATTATTTGAAAGCGTTTTATTATATCATATCAATAACATTGAATTTGTGTTGACATTATTTGCATACACACACATACACATACACACCTTACACACCGCACATTACCTAGCACTCATAGTATTTGCTCGGCGATCCCGTCCACTACTCTTGAGCTGCCATACACATATTAATACGCAACACAAACCGGTCGGTGTGTAAGTGTTCTTGCGCATGAAGTATTTCGGTGCCGGGCACACGAACTATCGTTGTTTCGGTCTCGGCCCAAACATTTGGTGACCTCGACGTGATATTAATATTAATTTACGGTACATCATTATTATTATTTTATTGCAAGTTCTAATCAGCTTGTCGGGCAGTACCTATACTTTTATTAAAATCGTTATATTATTATTTATCATATTATATTTTCTTGACCAATATTAGTGATATTTATAAAGAAGGGCCTCTTGTTATTATCACTTATTCGGCAGCGCTTACTATCATCGATTTCGTCTCAGATATCGTTATATACACTAGCGATTTGTTGATTTGTATCTGTTAGTATTGCTAGTCTGATCACAAGCCTTTGGGCAAACCTCATAACAAAATACTGCCGTGAGTCGTGGCTATCTCAGGCATAGCCAAAACTAATTATCTAACGTATAATTGAAATAGCTATGGACGAATCCCAGAAGAAGGTGTTAGGTGACCTGATTAGGAAGAGAGGGGTAATAAAGGCGTCTTTAACACGTATTCGTACATTTATTACCAAATTCAATCCGAGGGAGGATGCTATTACGCTATTAGAATTCAGGCAAGAAGAACTACCTAATATAAACAAAAAGTTTGATGAAATCCAATGTGAAATTGAACTTTTAAATTGTGATGATGAGGAAAACGCTAATCGTGAAAGAGCATCTTTTGAGAGTGAGTATTTTGCCATCCGGTCAGAAATGCAAGAAATCATTAATTCAGAGAAACGAGATACATCATCGATGATGCATAATGTATCAACAAGTTCCACTGTGCATAATCAAAGAGCTAGACTTGCTCCGATATCACTACCAAGTTTCGAAGGTGACATACTAGAATGGGAGTCTTTCTTTGACTATTATAAGGCAATGGTGCACTACGATGATGGATATCCTTCGGCCCAGAAGTTCTCATTTCTCAGATCATCTCTGAAGGGACAAGCATTAGACATTATTAAGGGCATACCTATTACCGATGCTAATTATAATGTGGCAATAAAAAAGCTACAAGAACGATACGACAACAAAAGTTTGGTGATCCAATCTCACATTCGCGCGATGCTTGATGCGCCACGGGTGGAGGCCTGCCAGGCAAAGGAATTGCAGAGCCTTTATTCAAGCATGTCCGCACACGTCGCAGCACTTGAAGCACTAGGCCAACCAGTCAACAGTTGGGATGCATGGCTTATAACAATTATCCTGAGAAAACTTGACCATGCAACCAGTCATGAATGGCAAGTGCGAAGAACCAACACAGAGTTACCGAAATACAGTGAGCTGCAGCAATTTCTGTCAAGCCGTTGTGTTGCATTGGAGAGTTCGGAAACACTCCGGAACAACAGCGATGAAGAAAAACGTAAACCAGAAACCAAGAGTTCCTATTTAAAAAGCAACGCTCACAATCACCCTAGAAAGGCTCTTTACACGGCTAATCATAACGTGAAGTGTGAATGCTGTGCAGGCGAACATCGGATATACGCATGTAGCAAGTTCAAAGAAATGCCAGTGGGAAGCCGTGTACAGAAGGTTCGAGAGGTAAAGTTGTGCTTCAACTGCTTTTCAAACATGCATATGGCGGATGCGTGCAAGTCAAAGTACAGCTGCCGCGTGTGTAATGGTAGACACAATACGCTACTACACTACGAAAAGCAAGAACCTCAAGCCACTGTGAATGAAGAAGCTACCATTGAAAAGGTAGACAATCCAAGCGCGAAGGTGTTTTGTGCAGCTCAAAGAGTTAATCATGTCTTCCTAGCAACCGCTATAGTCTCAGTGCTGGACCGTTATGGGGAAAAAAGACCATGTCGAGTAGTATTGGATAGCGGGTCGCAAATAAACTTTGTCTCGAGGAAAATGGCCAAGCTATTAAATCTTGCTCGCGAGAAAGTCGAACTACCAGTAACTGGAATAGGAGCTAACCGGATTCATTCATCTGCGTGCGTTACCATAGATGTATTGTCCAGAATAAAGGAATTTCAAGTTGCTCTAGTTTGTCACGTTCTACCTACCATTGTAGATGACCTTTCCCCTCATGCGAGTGGTAAAGCCGATTGGAATATACCAAAGGAATTAAACTCACAGCTGGCTGATCCATTGTTTCATTCATCGGGACCGATAGACATGCTGATAGGCGGTGGCGTCTTTTTCGACATACTGGAAACTAGGCGTATTCGTTTGGGCACAGGCTCGCTGTGTTTGCAAGATACCAAATTTGGTTGGGTCATTACCGGAGAGGTTGGAGCAATATGTCTGTTAAACGTTAAATCTGTCGGCCAGTCACTAGAAGATGGATGGATTGCCATAGAAAACAGCAAAGACGTTAATTCCAA